CCCCCCATGAATGCGTTGACAAGCCAAGCAACAACAGGGAACGCCGAAAACACTATCAACATGTAAGTGGGACGGAGGGGAAGCGAGCCAACGAACATGTCTCGCGACGTAAGTGCTAGCACAACCACCGTCACATCCAGACACCGCAACCACAGCCACGACGGTCCCGCGGAGGCCTCGCCGTTGTGGAATCCACCCCACCCCCCCTTCGTCGTGTTTCATCCGTTAGATCGCACGCCTAGTCTCAACGTTGTGGTACAGCATACGCCGAGGCATCGCTAGCAGGAAGCAAGTCCGAGCAACAGCTGCGACTTTCTTCCTCGACAAACGCAGAACAATAACGCCTCGGGGACCGAGACACCCCGTCCTCTTGACGGGATAACCGACGCGATTTCGGTAAGCGTCTCCGATCGCCACCTTATCCTTGCCAACCGCTGCCTCTTTCGCCTCCATCCTGCTGCTTCTATTTCTGGCAGCAGCAGCAGCGGCAGCGGCTACCCCAAGATGTTCCCGTCACCTCCCCGCGCTGGCCTTGCCTCTCCTCCTTTGGCTGGACCCGTCTCCTTAGCTGCCGCTCTCGCTGCGGCCTTTTCTGCAGCCCTGGCGGCTCTTGCCGCCGCCTTTTCTGCGGCCTTTGCGGCTCTTGCCGCAGCCTTTTCTTCCGCCTTCGCGGCTTTCGCTGCCGTTTTTTCTGCCGCTTTCGCCGCCATTTCGGCCGCCTGCGTAAGCAGTACAGGAGGGAAAAGGCACGCAGGATGCGGCAGGGGGTTGTACTAATGAATAGACATGCTGAAGTCCTTAGGCCATTGGCCTCGCATGTAAAAACATCACGGGATGGAGCGATAATGCCGGGTTTTCGCCGGCCCGGGCTGCGTTTCACAAGAATGAGCTGGCCATGATCCTTGCAGTTGTCGTGCCAACCAGATATATCATGGGTCGATGGGGCATCCCGTCTAACCAAACATCTCACGTTAGGCAGACACAACTACCGCAAGGAGCTTCGGAAGGGGACGGGGGAGCGGCATTTCCGGCGGGAGGGAGACGCTGGGTCCAGTGGCGTGAAGGACGATGACCCAGAACGATTTCCCCCGCTTCCTATTTTCAAGACGTTCGCCAGCGGTCTCCAAAACGGCAGCACTGAATATATACGCGCGAGCGTGTGTGTTCCCAGCATAAAAGTAATGCACCGCATCGCTACACATGAACCACCTGCTGTTGTCAATATTACCCATTCTATCTGCCCACGTCCAATTCTGGTATCTACACGCGTGTCTGTCCATTATTCAATCTCTCCATCGCTTTGTCTGCCCATCTATCTCTCCATCCATCTCCTCAACGCCCCGTCTCTCTCTCTCTCTCTCTCTCTCTCTCTCTCTCTCTCTCTCTGTCTCTCTGTCCCTCTCTCTCTGTCTCTGTCTCTCTCTCTCTCTCTCTTTCCCTCTCTCTCTCGGTGGTTCCCCCGCAATCGCCCACACACCTTTGCTTCCGCCTTCTTCGCGGCCTTGGCTTCTCGCTCGCTATCCCTTGCCCTCTGCTTCTCCTCCTTGATCTTCTTGGACTTGATGTCCTTCTTCCTCTTCGCCAGGGTGGCCTCCGGCGTAGGCCCTCCCGACCCTCCCGCCGCCAGGCCGTCGAATTCCTGGACGTTCTTAAGCCCCTGTGTTTCGAAGGCGAACAAACACACGCGACATCGAATATTAAACAACGAAAGAAACACACACACACCACGAAAAAAATGAATGCAGAACGAGAAAAGGACATGCAGAACGAAAAGAACAAAAAAAAACAGACGTGCAAGAGCAAACGGTTACGTTGCGATACGGCACATTGAGATGCCAGAAACGCTTTTGTTCCCGAGGGAAAGCTCAATGCGGGAAAAACGAAGGCAGAAATCAAAACGAATGACTTGTACGTGGAAGAACAGCCAAAGAGGAAACGAAACTACAAGCACGGGGGAAATAAGCATGTGTCGCCCCAACGTGTGAGCACACGCGTGTCTCTCGAGAAAACACCCGAAAATCCCAGCAGAAAAACGGCAAACAACGCAATTGGGCACGCTTGGACTGCTGCTTCCCAAAACACGCATGTATCGCGCGTGCAACGAGGGTCTGCGTGCTTGAGTGCATCGGGCGGTCAACGAGACGACAAAACAACGCCTGTATGCATATGAGCAAGCTTTTCCCCAAAACGAAACGTCCGCGAGGACGAGCACCTTTAGGCCGTGCCCCGTACCACCCAGAAAACACGATTTCGCCCCCCTCTCCTCGCCCCTGCTAACCGGGTGCAGCAGTCCCGCCCCAGCGGGCGGTGCCACAACCGTATCTAGCACCAGTACTTTCATTCTCAAGGGAAGAAAAATGAAACTTGTTGAGCGCTACCCGTGTCGTCCCAGTAGGACTTACCGAGTTCGTTGGCAAAAACAATCGCATCGCCACCGCCGGGTCAACCCCCGCATTCCAGGACAACGCACAAAACACAAAATTTCAAGACAAAAAAAAAACTTACCCCGACGACCGCCACGCGATCCATCACGAACTGCTGGCCGTCAAACACCAGCACGCACTCCACGTCTTGCGCCCTGACAAGAAAGTGAAAATCGAAACCGGAAGCAACAAAGATCACGAAAACGGTCACACGAATGAGAAATCATGCCGGCCAAAAAATGTGTGCGAAAAACGAAAGAGATGGATTGCTGGAGGAAGACGAGGGGGGGGCTACAGAAGCCGTTAGGGGTGTGTGAGGGAGGCTTGGCGATCGTTCCAATGTCCTCGTACACGTTCACCCCCGGTGTGTAACTGGCTAAGGACAGATCATCCCGGAGAGCGAAATTATTGCTCCACAAGAGAGGTGTGGCACTTGACGTTGGGAAAAACAGCAAAATTGGTCACCGTTTGGACCGATCTGAGACAGGACGATGATCAATCCCCGACCAAGGCTGGGATTATTTCTGTTCGAGACCACGCAACATGCGTGCGCGCAGAAGGCAACAAGCACACAAGCTAGAGGTGCTTGCAGCCGAGGACGCGAAGCGGTGTGCTGACACACGATGGCACCCGTTACTCCCAACGTGCGCCAATATCATTCCACGATAGTGGTTTGCCGATTTGTCAAAGGGAGGATCTGGCAAAGCGACTACATCCTGCCAGAATGAGGCTGCTCGTTGAGATAAAGCGAACGTTCTTTCGGGATACTGCTTTTCTGATGCGACAATACCCGCCGGCTGCCGGCATTTCGGTTAACCGCCCGAGTGGGTGCGCCCCCCAAGACGACCCCCATCCGCATCTAGCGCAATATGTTTTACAAGGTCGAGGTGAACAATTCAGCGCGAAAAGAAAGGAACAAAACAATAAAAGGCCGACGAACATGATCACATCCTCCTGTATCGTACCTTACAGCATCCCCAGTGAAACGAACGGGTTCCGGGTTGGAGGGATCTCGGCTTTCGTACTCCATCTCTGCCGCCCACCGCTGCTGCTGCCCACCACCGCCGACGTCGCCGCCGGTACCTTTGCCGCGGCCTCTCCACCTCCCTTCGTTCTCAGTCAGCGGCCGCTGCCGCAGCGTGGCCGGCACGTCCAGGTTCGTCCGCCCGGGCACGAAGTCGTACTTGAGGTGGACGTACTGCCCCGGATTGTTCTCACCCGTATCGTCATCGTCGACAACACCTCTGGTTGTGCCCCCTTTGGCTACACGACCACCGCTCTTGCTGCTCGCGGCCAAAGTACTACCACCACCGCTGCCGTAGAACGATTCTCCCAAGACGACCCCGTACCGCTCCCCCTCCCGCCACGCCGGCTTTTTCTCGGGCGCCGTTTGCAGCGGCGGATACGACTTCGTCGCCGGTGCCGCCGCCGCCGCCGCTGACGGCATCGCCCCGTCTGCAACGCCGGTATCCGCTGCCGATGCCGTCGCCGTCGCGGTCGCCGCCGCCACCTCCACCGCCAGCGCTTCCGCCGCCGCCGCTAGCACAGCTGCCCCCGGTACCTCGACGTCGGCTTCCGCTGCTGCTGTCGCCGACTCCGGTTCGTTATCTTCTTCTTCTCCGAAGAGAGCCGCCATCGACGGACCCTCTTCTTCGTCCGCCGGGGTCGCCGAACCGCCGCTCTTCGAGCTGGCCGATGGCGTCGGCTTGCCTGCATGCGACGTGCGCGCTGCCGCGGTGGCGTTGGCGTCGACGACGACGCCGCCCCGCGGTTCCGTCTGTCGTTGTTGCCTTGCGGGAAGCAACGCCAGGTCGGCCGCGAGTCGCCCGCCACGCGGGGCGGCAGCAGCGCGGCGTTTGGCTTCTCCGTGCCGTTCTGGCCGTCCTCCCTCTTCTTCTTGTCGGGGGGAGGGAAGAGGGGAGCGAGGCCTCTTCTTGGCATGGCTGCCGCCTGCCGTCGGTAGGGCAGACTCGGCGATGCCCCCGCCAGCTCTCGCACCACCTTCTGTCGGGTCTGCTGCTGGTGGTGGCGCTGCTTCTGATCGTGACGCTGCCGGAACGGCCGTGGCCGCGCCTTTCAACTTCTCCTCTGCCGCCCCCGGTTTCTTGCCCGTCCGCCTCTTTCCTGCCACCGGTTGTTTCGCAGGTGACCGCACGGGCGGTGCCTTCGTTCTCTCCCCGGTGGCGGGACAAAGGGACGCGACGGCCGCATTGGAAGCGGCGGCGGATTTCGAGAGAGGCCCTTCGCTGCTGCGCGCGTCGACAACTCCCGCATCCTTTTCGTGTCCAAGCTCAACATCGCTCTCAACAGCAGCAGCAGCAGCAGCAGCAGCAGCCGCTAGTGGAACGGCCGCCGTAGCGTCCACCGCCGACTCAGTCGCAGCAGCAGCTTCAGCGCAATCGGCTTCAACAGTAGCAGCAGCTTCAGCACCAGCACAGTGGTCACCGGCAGTTTTCGAGGCAGACCCGGTCGTCGAGGAGGTGGCGGCTGTGACAACGCTTGAGGAAGCGCAGGCGCTCCCGATGCCGGCGGCGCCGCTTCCACGGATGACCACCCCGGCCGCCACCGCGGGAGCTTCGCCGCTACCGCCGCCGGGTCGGGCGGTGGCAAGCGGAAGGGGGTGGCCGTCCGTGACGAAGCCCCGCATGACGTGGCAGGCCTTGAGGGCGGACACGAGCTTGCCGTGCCCCCGGAGGCGGCTGTCGTCCGGCGGCGGGGAGGTGGCGGCGGGCAGTCCCTCCGCCAGGTGGCAGCAGCAGGCGAACAGCGTGTGCTGCGCACAACAAACAGGTAGATACACGCACGCGCGGAGACGGAGGCACACACACACACACACACGTGGCATGCACAGCAGAGGAGCAAGATTGGAGCAAGATGACCACACAGGTGGGTGGAAACTTCAACTTATCGCGCCGCATTGGCGGACGGGCCGATCTGGGAGTGTCGAGTATGAAACGGGGGAGGTGTATGTCAACAAGAAGATGTGTCGCGAAAGGTTCAACCGTAAGGCCGACCGGAGCGACATGGACACAGCCCGTCAGCGCAGCCTCATGCCGTAGTACGGCACATCGCGCGAGGCGCAGAGGCGAGCGTCCAGCGCGACAAGCAGGGGACACCAAACAGGACCGCCGGGAAGAGAGGTGCGGTCACCGAAAACACTATCTTCACCGGAGGAACGTCTCGTGCGTGTTGTCCTACAAGTGAGATGTGTTACGTCCTACTCGGGCGATCTTTTCGACAAGGAAGCCGCCGCGGCACGCGCAAGATCAAACAATGAGGAAACCCTTGCGCAAAACACACACATACAAAGTGTTGGTTGTAAGCACCGCCCTGCTCTCATCCGTCTCGAAAAAACACCCCTTCTGAAAACGTCTGTGCATACGATCAACTCCCAGAAACTCAGAGATGGCTGCTGTTGTCAACCGCGAAAGCTGACCCATTGTTTTAAGGGCTTCCCATCCACGTCGGAAACGATTTTTCGGACCCGTCCAATTATATCTTTCCTGGGGCGCGTGCGCACGTACAAGACGGACCGGGGCGGTTCTAACTGCCCCAGCCGGCGTGCCTGCTGCCGCAAGCCCTCACCCGAACGTTGGCGTCGTTGAGCGCCGGCCGGCGGCTCCATTCCCCTTCAGGACCCCCGACGGCTCCTCGAGTCATGCACCGCAACGCCGCCGCGAAGGCCTCGGCTATGGTGGCATACGTCGGCGGGGCCAGAGTCGCAACCCTGGGAAGGGTACCAGGATAGGGGCAATGGAGCACGACGACAGATAAAATGAGAGGGGGAGAGCGGTGAACGAGGGAGATATGAAGAGATGTGTACAGCGAGGGAGAGAGGGAGACAGGGAGAGAGCGAGAGCGAGCGAGCGAGCGAGAGAGAGAGAGAGAGAGAGAGAGAGAGAGAGAGAGAGAGAGAGAGAGAGAGAGAGAG